TAATAAAAAGGATGGGTAATAAAGATTTTGAAGATAGCTAATACAAAATAATTTTTATGATAGACATAAATATATAGAGATAGAGTTCTGAGCAATTGTGTATTCTCAAAGCTGATAGGATTATAACCCACACAATCTATGTGCTACAAAACATGTTTTTTCACACTTTAATGAAATCTGGTTCATTTTACCAACAATTATTTTACTAAGAGCTTATTTTACCAAAGGTTTTTTTTAAAAATTGCATTAAACTCTAATTCTAAGCCTGGCTCTTGTATTTAGTTGATAATAGACGAGTTCGTAATTCAGTAACAGATGGATTCGTAATTCCAGTAGTGGGTGAATTTCATGATTTTTTATTAGTAAGTAGATTAGTGATTTCAACACTGGGCAGATTCGTAATTTCAACATTATATGAGTTATTAATTTCAATAGTGGTGATAGTTGTGATTCGTGGTTTAACAATAAGTAGATTCATGATTTCAACAATGGAGTCATAATTTTAATACAGTAATAGATGAGTTAATAATTTCAATAGTTTTATAAATTGGGATCGTGATTTTTAATGATGGCAGAATTACATCTTTAGTAGCATATAAGTAGCAATTTTAAAAACACAGTAGATAGATTCAAAATTCAATAATGAAAAGATTATAATCTCTATTTTATGCAGTTTTTGATTTCAATAGTGACTGAATTAGTAATTTCAACAGTATATATAGTATGTAAATTCATAATTCAAAAGGTTCATAATTAAGAATAGGTGGGTTAATAATTTCATTGATGGAGGTTCCCATATATGGTTCAAACTGCAGATGGGTTTATGATTTCAACAATAGATATGTTTGGTTAGTAAATTTAACAGTGAGTAGATTCGTTTGTAATATTAATAATAGGTAGTTTTATTGATTATTTTGATAGTGGATAGGTTTATGATTTTAGTAGTATAGATTTGTAACTTCAACAATAAGCAGGTTCATATCAAATCTAGATTATAACACAATATGCATTATATATGTTATATGCATAACGAATATAATGCATATAATATTAAGTTAATAAATAAAATGTGATTTTCTTTTGAGCAAAATAAGCAATATAGTATCTCACAAGGAATCACAAAGTTACCAAATAACAAACAGAAGTATGCTGGAACAATAAAGTTGGAAAGTATCACAAAATAAATACCAAACAATTTTTTCTAATTTATTGTATCAATGCATACTGATATAATTTATATGTATATCATTTATATAATCATATTGTAATAACTACAGTATTTAAAAAATATTATAAACTAAATTATTCTTGTGGTGGAAACATATCAATATGAACTCTATTGTGTTTTAAAAATAAAACCTTATTTACTAAATCAGGTGACAAATGAGTCTGTTTTGATAAAATATGATTTCTAGTGTCAGAAAATAGTCTCTCACTTGGTACTGAGGTTGCTGGAATAGAAAGATATTTGCATGCCAATTGAGCTAAAATGGGCAGACTATTTCTATTTTGTAATCACCATTCTAAAGGATCCTTGCTAATTTTAATTTCTTTCATTCTTATATAATGTATTACCTTACTTTCTTCTTTCTTGTCTGTTTGTGTAAAATTTGCTTTCAATTCATAAAAAAAATCTTTATCGTTATCATCATTATCATCATCATGACCTCTTTTTTCAATGTCATTTGGAATAGTAAGCTTTATCTTTAATTCATTATATTGAGCTTCTATCAAATTTTGTGTTTTGTTTCATTCAACTGATATTGTCTAATTAAAATATTTAAATCTTGGATAAGAAATGTGGCAATTAAAGCAATATCCGATAGAGCTTCCCATAATTTGTCCATTGACAAATAAATAGCAGCACAAACTTTTTTAAGCAAGCTAGTAGTGGTAACTGATAGTAAATACTCT